GACACTTTTGATTCACAGTGAGCTCCAGACGTCTGTCAAAGAAAGGTTTAAAATTCCTTATCAGTGATGAACGAAGGCCAGCCTATGCTTGTCAAGTCGAGTACCTTGCTCAGCAAAGGGTCGTGAATTACTTGTGGCACGAGCAATGTCACGATTGGTGACGGGTAGTGTATCTAGACGCAGTGAATATAAAGTTGCGTTTCCTTCTGTAGATTCATCTTCCACAATGTCAAGTTTCAATCTTGACAGAAAGGCTGCTTCAGCGTTGTAACTTGAATTCTTGAACTGGAGCGAGTAGCTGTACGTAGAAAAGGTCACAACAAAGCGCTGCGTCTGTGCAGGTGCCATTGCCGGAATGCTTGTTTTCGGGAGGAAAATGGTTTGCAAAAGTTTTGGTCTGTTATTAAAGTAAAGAAACGCCCCTAAATAAAGCACGTGCAACTTTTTAATGCCAAAGACGAGGGCCAGTGCTTTTGTCTCAATCTCGCTGTAGCTCTTTTAGCCTCCGATAAAGTACGCGACAAGTAAGGTGCGGGTTGAACATTTTCTTTCGGCGAAATTCGCGAAAGAACGGCGCCTATGCCATAGTGATTTGCATTAGTAACTTTGAGTTGTTTGCCATAACCACATTTTGAAGATCTCTACTGAAGCCTATCTTTGGGAATTATTGTCCACTAGCTAAGGCCGCCACCAGCGCATCCATACGTTGCAGGGGGTACCTGTCCACCTCAAGGCAGGGATTGAGTGTAGCCTTGAAATCTCCGCAGGGGCGGATACCGCCATCCGTCTTTACTACAGACACAGGGGGTGTTGTACACTCGCTGGTAGCCACAGGCGCGATGACTTCAAACTTTTTCATTTTTTTTATTTTATATTTCGACTGCTGTTCGCAGTACAAATGGATTTCTTGTAGCCTTCGCAAACGTCGGCTGTGAACATTCACGAAGAAAAAGTGCGGCTTGTTACCCAGAAATTATGCCCAGCTCGTTTTTAAACGGGTCACTGTGGCTCTCCAACAAGGCGTCCAACTTCTGTTTGCAAATCTCCGACGCGTCGAGTCTGTTCACAGAGACCAAGTTCTTCCAGTTTAGCCGAATATCTCGCAGCTATTCTCTGCAGAGCAATGCCGGTCCCTTGGTTTCAAACGAAGAAAAAATAAATAAATGCAAAGTAAAATTAAATTAACTAGCCCATACTTTTTCGTTAGGCAAGTACAGTGGAAGCTCCTTACTTTGTTCCTTGTGTTGCACAAATACCAAGGCCACACCCCTCGGCTTCACGGAGTCTCCTGTATACGTACGAAGTGTCTGCGTTGCTGGCTGCAGCTGCTTTCTTGGTAACAAATTTCAAAATTCAATCCCGGAGACAATGGACAGAGCTGCGCGTGTGTCGAGTTACACAGAGCTTCAGACCGTCAATGTTTATGGGTACGGCGATCAGTTCGATGTCCGTAGCCTTGACCGCTTGCAGAGATAAAGCGTCGTGAATGCACGTCAGCGTTCTCACTTGTCGCTGTACTTTCGGTTCTGTCGGGTTCTTGTTACCCGAACGGTCCGCGCGCTGAAGATGCCCTTTCCGGTTACACTTTAAATATATGTCGCCGACGTGGGGGCTCGCATCACTTGGATGGTTGATCAAGCCACAACGGAAACAACGGGACTGCTCTGGTACTCGCTTGTCAATCGGCGCTTTGTGGTCTCCTAGAGCCTCGTGGGTGTCAGAAACCAATGGACTGCTGGTCACCTTAACTATGCACTGATAGTTGCTATTTCTTTAAAGATCCCTCTCCACCGCCTTCTAGAAAGAAAGCGTTTTGTCTTCTGTGATGTGGACGCGCTGTACATCTTGTCGGCAAAGGCCGCACAGAAAACGGTCGCGGAGCGCTTCGACAACAAAACCTCCAAAATCGCAGCTCTGTGATAGGTCTCGAGTACCGCTACGAATTCGGTGATGGATTCGCAAACACGGGTGCATGCCATCGCTCGGCTTGGCAGTCAGTCAAGCACTTGACGCCACCGTGTTAGGCGCACTAGATCCAATAAGTGAGCTGCGCTTAGAGTATCAACACTCCGTTCCCCGACATTGTTGTGGGCGCCGCCATTTTGGTGCTTGTGTAGACCAGACGCAACTGCCGATCGTCACGATTAAGAAGTGTGACGTCCTTAGCATTAGATTCGGTGTTACGAAGCTAATGTGACTTTGCTTTGCTTTGTCTCGAACTGTTTAAACATTCGTGGAGGACGGAAAAGCGTTTTCTGTGATTTCAGATAAAGCATCAGATAACTGGCAACCATTATTTTAAACCACAACATGGCCAACTGTTGTTACTCTGAAGCGTAGCTTATCTAGTGGCACGAAGGCGCATGATGCACGCCATGACACGAGCACCTGCGAACACACATGACACCATTGTTTTTCTGTGTGCCAGCAATAAGAAAAAAAATATTTTTGTGCCTCATTTATTAGTTTTTACATGTCTGGCGTATTGACATTTTTTTGTGTTCCAAGAATGGATGCAATTTCTCCGTTTTTTAGCCTCAATTGTGAGTTTTATTAACTGCCTCGTCAGTATTGTGCTGGTATAATTAATTCTGCAAGTTGACTTGTTGTGTACTCTGCTGCATCCTTAGAGAAGAAACATAGCTGCGATCAGTTTATTTGTGCATGTCTTAAGATTTTGATTAATGTTTCTCAAGGATGTGTTCATGTAGAATGTGCATGGAAGTGTCAGAGGTTGCCTTTGCTTCTCTGTTTTTTTAATTTTTTATTTTTATTCATTGTGTACATAATATGTGTGCTGCTGTAAACTGCGGGGGCAGAGACCTGTGGCAGGCAGAGCTGCCTTCGCTCTACAAGTCCATATCGGGCTTGACCCGTTGATATTCCAATAATCTTCAAACTTCGAACTTCAATGATCTGGGTCACCTCTCGGAAGATTCCACACCGTCTGGGTCACAATGCAACCTGCGAGGGCAGTAAAGACTGCAAAAAGGGGAGCATGAGCCCCTCATGCACGTATTCATGCCCTCTTCATTTTTTATTTTATTTTTTATTATACGTTTTTTCGTGGGAGGGGGGGGTGAAGGGGGAGAGAAGAAAAAGTAGCCGTGCTCCTGTATTGCAGCTGGGCTGGCGTGGTACTTAGACGTCGTGCTTCTCATTTCTGCCCCAACATTGCGTCTTTTTTTTATTTTGTAGTGGCTTGCGCGTCCAATTTAAATGCAGTAGCAGCTACGCAGACTCATCACGGGGCCCACTCAGGCCACATTGGTCCTTTCCCGAAAATCGGACGTCGGTCTCAATATCAAGTAACGCCCGGTGGACCACTTGCTGGGTCATCTGCGAAGGCTCGATCCTCGGTGACCCGAAAGAAGGCCAGGCCAAAACGTACTGAGACGCCTCTTTTTTTCTTGAAGGGATGAGATGTGTGGCCTAGCTGGTGATCTAAGCGTTCCACTAGGTTGCACGCATGTTAAATCATCTCGTGATTTCTCCCGCGAGGTGGTGAAGTGCGATGAGCCAAGTGAGCGGCACTCCGCCGCTGACGAAAGGTGGGCCCAGGAGTACGCGGAGAGCCTTGCTCGGTCGCAGCGAGGACGTTATCATTCAATAAATGACTGCATGCTGTAGAAACAGTGTGTTGTTTTTCTGCTGCGATGCGGGTAGCAGCAAGGTAAATTCTACGACAGCGTTAGCTCGAATAAGTCATCACCCCATCACCGGTTTTTATCTTTTTAGGATTGAAGGACTGTGAAAAAAATACTCTCGTGGTAGAAATTACCGCGTTGGGGTGCTAGCATATGTGCTAAGTTATGATGAGCGAAACTACCCATTCGAAGTAAAATGACAACACACGCCGAAGTTAAGTAACGCTAACGGCGTAGCGCAGCTTACGCGTTATGCTTTAAATATTATTTTTTTTTAAACTCAGCCTTCATAAAAGGGAAACCCGATATAATCATTTCAGTCGTTGAGAACTGCGCATTAATCTGATATTAATTTAATGCATTCCGCAATTTCTTTGTTTAAGAGCACGTTGTCGCGAATGAGAATTGATGACGCGGTAAATAAGAAAAAAAAAACGTTTAATGTGGCGAACTGGTGCTAAAACAAGAACAAAGGCAATTAAGAAAGGTAAAAGTACAGAGTAGCGGGCGTGGAAAGGTGACGTGAACGCAGAGCCGAGCGCTTGCAAAAAGCTGACTTCGTATCGCGCCCGCGGCTTTTTTTTTTGTTGTTGTTTTTCTTTTTAGCCTTTTCTGGGAGCCTAGAGCATTGTACATCGTTCGTTCTGTAAGTATTTAGTCTGAGCATGAACATGCTAAACGGTTCTCCAAAGTTATAGAATCTTCTACTTGCACAAAGAACGAAAAATAACGCCAAGCGGTGGCGGGATCCGAACCCTGACCATCTGCGTGGGATCAAGGCGCTCTGCTCTACCTACTTGCCGAGCTGCGCACGGGGCAATATAGGTGGCAGAAGTTCGTGCAGAGGGCTCATTTTGGGCATTCACGTTAGCTCTGATTCACCAAGTTTCTATTCTCTAGAGTCTTGAATAATAAACCTGATGCTTTCTTCTCTGAGAAGGTTCGGCACAAGCATATATGCGATCGTATAATAACTGGGTTATATCACAATGCTGTGTGTTAAACTGTATGACTCTTGTAATATGATGACTTCTTCTCTATCTCTTGTTATTTGATCGCGGGGAACACATCGAATCTTTGTTTAAAATACCCTCAATTTCGTTCTAAAATTCACGTATTTGCTATACGTTCATAATGTCTGAAGCGACAATAAAACTAAATTTTGAATCATTGCCGCTTTAAGTACCAATACAAAAACTACAACCTATTAAAAATGCAATTTTGCAAAAAAAAAAAAAAAAAAAAAAGATGTTGAAATACTGACTTAGAAATACGTAAGTACTTAAAAACACAAAGTTGAGTTTTAATTGGTATCAGACAGCGCTAACTAAAATTCAGAGCAATGTTGCTTACCAGTCTAATGGCTTGAGAGACTTGATCTATATAATCAACAGCGTCCTTAAAATCAGCTTCGATCAAGCTGAGTTGTAACAGAAGACATAAGGCGGCGGCTTGCATTGGCCATGCCATCTGGTCAACCTATGGACAAAAGCTGTGTGTAAGCCGAATATATTTTAATCAAGAAAATATAACTGTTTTATATTATAAACAGTAAGATTTTATTTTATATGATTGTTCAAAACATCCTGCCCAAGTCTTCGTCTTCGTTCACCACTCTCAACATCAAGAAACCCACTGATTATACGTAAAAGCACTGAATACTACAATTATGTGATTATTGATTATATTACTATTATGCCAAGAATAGTCATGCAATTAATGTGCAGTTACCAAAATGTTCCAGTAAACATCAAATCCTGCAAAAGAAAACAAAAAAAAACAGACGAACTACAAATTTGTTTCATAGTTTCACAATGTTTAACAAACCACCAAGTTCCCCCCCCCCCCCCCCCCCGCCCCCCAAAAAAATATTTTGAGCGGCACCATTTCTGTGTAAGTACCTCTCGGCATGGGTTTAGTTTAACATGTCCTTATATTTATATATATATATATATATCACTATGCCGACGAGGGGTAAATATTTTCCAAATGCGTAATTGCACCGCCTTTTTGTGTAAATTATTTACCTCTCCGTGCTTTGGTTTTGATCATTAAGAATGTGAACGAATAAAAGCCCTCTCTGCTCAAACGTGGAAAAGAGAATTCTAGCAAAATTAAAACGCCCAGCAAACGTGACCTCTGCTGTGTAGTCAGACAAAAGACGCATTCCGCGTGCCAACGTCTACGCGATCTCGATAAAAAAAAAAGAAATGTTTACAAGTCTCTGTAATGTGAAAATAGAACGCAGCTCTTGAGGACGAGGAGGGGAGCGTACAGCGGGGAGAGAATGCCCCTACTCCTCCGTACGCTCCCCTCCTCCTCTCCTACACCTCTCCTACTCCTCCCCTCCTCCTAATCTCCTCCTCTTCCCCTTCCCTTTTCCCCTCCTCGCCCTCCTCCGCCCTTCCTCCGCCTCCCCTCCTGCCGCTGAATTTGTTCATGGGTGACGTGACACGAATTCGTGGCGTTATTTTTCCCACTAAATTCAGCGGTGAAACAGAATTGCTGTTGAGGGCACGTGACGTTAATTTTCCCCCTAAGTTTAGCGGGAAAACTTAATCCGCTAAAGTTAGCGGAGAAATATTTCCAGCAAATTTACTAGGAAAGTTTTCCGCTAAATTTGGTGGGGAAATTTTCCTGCTAAATTTAGCGAAACATTTCCAGCTAAATTTAAGGGGAAAAGTTTCCCACTAACTTTAGCGGGAACATTTCACGCTAAATATAGCGAAAAAAATTCCCCACTAAATTTAACAGGAACATTTCCCCGCTAACTTTAAAAGAGAAATGTCCCATAATGCAACGCGCGTTGTTACGCCGACGCCGACAGCGACGCCGACACCGCTCAACCCGGAAATGGGCACCTAAGAGCTGCGCTATAAAATGATCTGACTATTAGTAGGATAGGTTTATTTAAAATCACTGTATCCTAGGAAAGTAGCGCCAAGGTCCCCTTATGGTCGCAATTCTGGTTCATGGAAGGAGCAGTTTCACCTTGACCTAACCAGTCTTAGGGCTCATTCACACTGGAAGCGGATCCGCGTTCGCAATGCGGTTGCGAACGCGGTTGTATAAGGATTCAGTACAATTGCACGCGCATTTGATGACATCATATGCGCGTGCATTTGTACTGGATCTTTATACAACCGCGTTCCCAAACGCTTCGCCACCGCGGATCCGCTTCCAGTGTGAATGGGGGGTTAAAGAATCAATCTATATAGGTGCCACTGGCGGCTATAGCAGGGATCGCTTCTGCTGAGTACGTGTTGGTGGCAAACTTCCACAACGCTGGCTGGTAACACGCACAGTGCACACCATTAACACTGTTTTCTTTGGGAACTCACCCTGAGCATCGGCTATGAGCAGTCACCTCAAATATGGCGTCTGATGAATACCACCTATTGGCTGGTGACGGGTAGCTTTATAGTGACGTTTCTTGTATACAGAGATTTTGATAAACTCTCATAAAAAAGGGTACATTCTTACATCCCTTGTCTTACCACTCATTCACATTGGAAACGGATCCGCGTTCGCAAAGCGGTTGCGAACGCGGTTGTATAAAGATTCAGTACAATTGCACGCGCACTTGATGTCATCGCGTGCGCGTGCAATTGCACTGGACCTTTATACAACCGCGTTCGCAACCGCTTTGCGAACGCGGATCCGCTTGCAGTGTGAATGAGCGGTTACGTGCGAATTACGACACCCCAGAACTTCAGTTCGACTTACAGCGCACTGACGTCGACTACAGAAACAAACACACTGAGCTTTTACAGTTGCTGGAGTCGAGGGTGAAAGACGAGCCAGAGGGCACGTGACAGGCGGAGAGGGCTGTGTCTGGTGTTTTTCCTCTCGGCGCCGAGGAACATCGCGGCGCCTGAGGCATCTATATCGGCGGCGGCCGCATCCTCGGCTGTAGCGAAACATGGCTGTCCACGCCACTACACCGCATATGAACTAAGGGAGTGGAGGGGCGACATTCATGCCGTTCGCAACTCGTAAGAAGTGCTTTTTTTTTTCTTTTTGTTCAGAAACTTAACAATCTAAGCAAGTGCGACTTGCTCTAAAGAATATAGACAGGCAGATGCACATATGTACATATGTACTACATCTGCTCATATGTCAAAAAAATGTCGCAGCGCAAGGTTCGTGTAAATATAAAAGTAAAACTAGTTAGGATGTTTTAAGTATCACTTTTTATTATATTGATTCGGTACAAAGATTCCTCCTGATACGATGTACGAAGAGATCCTGACAGAAGACGAAGCAAGCAAAAAAAGCTCTTCACCCAAACATTAATTTTTTTGAAGTACTAGTCGGCATGGACTTCCAAGCTCAGGTTGCACTTCAAACTAGGCCTAAATATTTCCATAGCTGCCTCATTTTATCACCTATTTGCGTATGTTATTTTAATTTAATTTGGGTGCTTGAGTTTCTTTGATGAAGTAAACGCTCGGGCCAAGTTTCCCGAGTATTCCGGAGAAATGTGATCGTTTCTTGTAGCAAAGATAACGCGTATTAATTTTGCAGGAGCATGTCAAAAATGAGCACCAGTACTGAGAAACCCGGCTATTGCAAAAATGCATATCATGATTGAAGCAATACTCACGGCACCTTGACCACCCAGCGAGCGAATCATTCTAGTTCGCCCGTTTATTGTGGTCAAGAGTAAGAGCCCACGCTTTTATCTTCTTACATAAGTGGAAATTGTTGACATTAGAAACAGCGGACACGTGCAACAAAAAGAACAAAATGAACAAAAAGAAACAACAACGTGAAATCAGAAGACCAAGTAACAAAGAGACCTGCGTGTTATTTACGCAGTTCACACTGCACACTAAACATTTCAACACCCATGTTCGTGTTAAAAGGGTGTTTTCCGAGCTCACACCCTTCCTACACCATTTTTACATAATTTTTGAATATTCAAGGGTGTACGGAAAGGCCTACACCCTTCGTACATCCTTTTTACACCCTACGGCTACCGAAATCGTGTTAAGAGGGTGTTGCGGTGGTACACCCATGATTTCCGAGTTGTCGAACTCGGGAACCACCAAATTGCAGACATACGCGCCGACAGCAGAAGTCAGGAAGCAGTCTGCTCAATTTAGAGGATTTCGTGAAGTTCAAGTAACCGCAATGGGCAGCTGACATTCAAGCGAAGCCAACGCTCAAGTTGTTTTCAAACCAGATGAATGCCGGCGTTGTGTACAAGCTCCTTGGTTGTTTACGTGCAAGCCACCACGAAAATAGCATCGGTTACTCACGCACTTCTGCTCAAAATGGTGAGACAACATCGGTTCTATTATGGTACATTCCGTCTCATCCTGAGATGTACTAAAGCGAAGGCTAGACGTGCGAGACGGTTCGGGCTCACAGCTTTACTGTGAGCCTGTACCGTAAAGGTCGGTTCAGACACTTGCGTTTGAGTGCGTTTGTCTGCGTTACGTTTAGAACCGAAAGCGAGTCACCGGCACGTCTGTGCTTCGTATGAAGCGTGGATTCCAATTCAAAGAATCATCTTGGCGCAGCAGGGATGTCATGGTTTCTCGCAGCCGCAACGCGGTCAAACGCAACTGTTTGAACCAGGCTTTACGTGGTTGTCCTGTGCTTGTCCTTCGCGTTTCATTCTTTCGATTTTAAGTATTCATTTTCAACTCGCTCGCTCTTACCAGTACTAGTAGATACTCAAGCTGCACGAGGGTTCGTGCAGTGCGACCCTCTAGCGATGCTATGAGCTCGTGCTCGAGGCTTGGCTTTAATGCATCTTAGTGGGGAAGGCAATCATAGGGGATATATGACACACGATGATGCCAAGTCTGCGGACTCTCGTGCTGTTCTGATTGGAGGAGAAGGGGCGTGTAAAATATTGGCAAATGGAACATGGTTAGCGACAGCGCAAATATATGTTGGAAAAAGTTCAGAACGTTGAAGTGCAGTAGCCTGAAACTTTGGAGTTAAGCAAGTCGAGAATCATTTGAAGACATCTTTAGAGGTTCAGCCTTCTCTCCCCCCACACCAGTATCGACGGCTGCTACGATATTGGTTCAGGTTAAGCCCTCTGTCTTTCAGTCAGCGAACTCGAGCCGTTCCACCTGACCTTGTTATTTCATAACGGATATGTTAGAAAATAGAATGCAGATTTTCTTTACACGGCCAAAACATAAAGTGTTATCAAATAATACTTGCCATATTTATATTTTACATTTACAGACCGGGGTTGCCCCGCCTGTGGAGGGTGAAGATGCGAGCAGCCTCGAAGCCCACCAACAGTAACTGTGTGCTGCACACTAAACATTGTAACACCCATAATCGTGTAAAAAGGGTGTAGGAAGGGTGTAGGTTAGGAAAAACACCCTTTTCACACGCTTTTTACACGATTTCTGAATATCGGTTGGTGTAAAAAGGGTGTGCTGAGGTTTTACACCCTTTACACGCCCTCTTTACGCCCCACTTGCAGCGATGGTGTCTGA